TTCTCGGGAACAGGAGCTAAAGGCGGGAAAATTGAACTGCAGCGAAATGGCTAGCCAGGCGTTTGGGTGTGAGGAGCTCTGTCTGTCTGTCTGTCTGTCTGTCTGTCTGTCTGTCTGTCTGTCTGTCTCTGTGTCTGTCCTTGTCCCTGTCTCTGTCTCTCTCGCTTTCGCTCATCTATCTATCAACCTCGCTATCTATATCCATCTCCATTTCCATTTCCTTAATGCCTCTCCCTCTGCCTTTCCATCTCCCTCTCTCTCCCTTATCTCCATTTCTCACTCTCCATCCCCCTTCACTCTCCCTCCCACTCCTTTCTCACTCCCCGATGTCTCTTTCTTCCTCTCCATCTCCCTCTTCCTTCCTTCTCCTCTCCCTCTCCTCTTTCTCCTCTCTCTCTCTCTCTCCCCTCTCCCTTTCCCTTTCCTCTCCTCTCCCTCTCCTATCCCTCTCTCTCTCTCCACTATCTCTCTTTCTCCCACTCCCTCTCCATCCCTCCCCTTCTTTCCTCTCTCTCTCCCCCTCTCTCCTCTCTCCCTCCCCTCCCTCCCCTCTCCCCATCCCCCACTCCTCCCCCTTCGCCCTAACCCCTCTCCCTCTCCTGGTAAGCGAGAGGGAATGGAGTGAAAGGGCGCCACAGGATATGAAGGGGTGAGAAGGGCGCTTGTCTGACGCAGGTATTAACATGACGAAAGGTGACAGAGACGGAGGTGAAGTGATATTGATGATCACAGCAGCGAGGAGGAAGAAGAGCAAGAGGAAGAGAAAGAGGAAGAGGAAGAGGAGGAGGAAATAGAAGAGGAAGAGGAAAGGAAGAGTAAAAAGGAATAGGAAGAGGAAGAGTGAAAAGGAATAGGGATGGAAGAAGAAGGAAGAGGAAGGGTGAAAAAGGACGAAGAAGAAGAGGAAAGGAAGAGTGAAAAAAGGAATAGGAAGAGGAGGAAGAGGAAAGGAAGAGTGAAAAAGGACGAGGAAGAAGAGGAAAGGAAGAGTGAAAAAGGACGAGGAAGAAGAGGAAAGGAAGAGTGAAAAAGGACGAGGAAGAAGAGGAAAGGAAGAGTGAAAAAGGAGAGGAGAGGAATAGTGAAAGGGAATAGGAAGAGGAAGAAGAAAGGAAAAGAAAGAGTGAAAAAGGACGAAGAAGAAAGGAAGAGAATGAGTGAAAAAGGACGAAGAAGAAAGGAAAGGAAGAGTGGAAAAGGACGAGGAAGAAGAAGAGGAAGAGTGGGTAAGGAAGAGGAATAGGAAGAGTGGGTAAGGGAGAGGGAGAGGAAGAGGAAAATACATAGGGAAGAAAGTAGGAAGAGGAAGATAGGTAAGAAAGGAAGAGGAAGAGGGAGAGTGAGTAAGGGAGAGGAAGAAGGAGAGTGGGGAAGGGAGAGGAAGAGGGAGGTAAGTGGGCAAAAAAAAGAGAAATAGAGAGAGAGGAAAATCTGTGAGAAGGAAAGTAGAACAAGAAAAGGAAGACAAGGTGGACAGGAAGAGAAAGAAAAAGGGGGGAGAGATGTGGAAGAGAAAAATGTGGATAGTAAAAGAGTAAGAAAACAATGGATTGGAAAGGAAGAGAAACAGGATATTGGGATGAAGAGAGGGTATAGAAAGAAGAAAAAGAGGAAGAAGAACAGAAAGACAGAAGAACGGAAGATAGAAAGATGATAATTAAAAAAGGAATAGAAAAAAAACGAATGCAAGAGGAAAAAGAGAGGAATACAAGAAAGGAAAACCAAAGCGAAAGAAAGACAAGAAGAAAAAGAATCGCGACAAAGACGAAATACAATAAATTAATAGAAAGAGAAAGAGAAAAAAAGAAATAACAATATCTACGAATAAGAATCATAAAAATACATAACAACGAATCAACAGAAATGCCACCAATACCCTTGTAGTCTGACCAGCGCTCGTAGAAGGAAGGAAAAGGATGGAAGAGAAGAACAGAAACGTGGAGGAACTAGGAGATCGTGTTATTTGGGCGAGGACGCGAGAAGCAGCCATGGAGAAATGGGAAGAGTGAGAGAGAGTTTTTGGATTTTATTTTTTATGTGTGTGTGTGTGTGGGGGGGGGGGGGGGTTGTGTGTGTGTGGGTGGGGAGGGGGTTTTGTGTGTGTGTGGGGGTGTGGTGTGGTGTGGGGAGTGTTGTGTGTGTGTGGGGGGGGGGGTGTTGTATGTGTGTGTGTAGGCATGTGTGTCTGTCTCTCTCTCTCTCTCTCCTCCCTCTCTATCTTTCTCACTATCCACCTATCTGTCTCACTATCTATCTGTCTCTATTTTTCTCCCCCTCCGTCCTTCTCCCTCTCCTATTACCTCTTCCTCTCCTTCTGCCTCAGCCTGACCATCTGCCTCCCCCCCCCTTTCCTCTAACCCATAAGCTTGCATTAACGAACCTCTGCTTGCGATCTTATGCGTATTCTGTGCCTCCACCAGATTGCAACTGCAACGAGAAGAACCTCCATCTTCCAAATGCGTTTTATTCTCCACATTTATTACATATTTTCTTTCTTTCT